GCCGGCCCACGCAGCTGCTCAGCCAGGCTTAGCGGACCATCCCGCTGCAGAGGGGTCACTCGGTTGAGAAAGTACTTTGTCCACACCTCCAAATCTGTGCCTCCTGTCATGGCCAGGCCACTCATTTGATTTTTTAAAACCATTGCTTTAAAAATAATTTAAATGGTTTAGGATAGGTAACCCATGACAAGGCGAAACGAATCACAGAGTTTCAAAAGAATATGCCAAGAAAAGGAAGACTCACCCCACCCTGTTTTTCAGTTTCCCTCCTCCATGGACATCACCACCATCTGTTTCCAGAATAATCTTCTAGAGATAGTCTGTGACTACTGGAGCACATATAATTCCTATCCCCTTGATCCTTGTGCACAAATGACAATATACACTTATTTCAGCAGCTTTTGCTTTTCTGTTTTTCTGACTTAACCGTCCTAGTAGTCTTTATACCATTCATAGCACTGTCTCCTCTTCAGTGGCCACATTGTATTTCCCATCATAGGTGCCCAAAATCCTGTTCAATCAGCTCCTAAGTGATGGATATTTACGTTATTCTAGTATTTTTTCCTCTAACAAACAGGATTATAATGAATACCTTCCAGAAGGAAATAAGAATTAGACTTCATCTGCCGGGGATTGGGCTTCCTTCCTTGTCCCCTCCTACTTTCCCCACGGACTTGCCTGTATAGACGGGACATATCCTGTGTTTTGTCCTACGACTTGTATTGGCTGTGGCAGGACACACTGTCCTGTGTTCAGCTTTTTAGAAAACATTCAGAAGTTCAGCACAGCTGTTCTTCCTCCACAGTAATTGGCATGGGACCACTTAAGTGGCAACACTAGCTGAAAAGCATAGTCTCTGAAGGTAAAGATCCAGACAACTCCTTATGGTTTCTCGCAGGTTCAGCGGAGGGGAGAACAGGAGACACTAAGCATTAAAGGTGCTTATTTACACATTCTGGAAAGGAAAACGCTGTTGGTTGGCAGAAGCCCCACGGCATGAACAGAGATAACCTCCAATCAGGACACAGGTCCTGCAAATCAGCCAGTCAGCCACAGCCTCACACCAGTAACTAGGCTCCCCAAAGTAAGCAAATCCTAGAGAGCCAATCAGTGAGAGCCCCCTCTCCAGACAACAGCCAATCAGCAAATGCCTACTCCAGTGCTCACGTTTCCTGGGCAGAGTCAATGCAGCCTTACTCCTGTGCAGTGAAACACAGCTGAAAGCCCCAAGATCTGAAAATACTTCCACTTCAAAGGTCCACCGGCCTCTGAACCCCAGACTTCCCTAAACCTGGCATAAACTCAGCTCCAGAGCGTTCGGGAGACTTTGTCATACAAATACAGGTCTTTCTTGCAGGCGAACAAGAAAATCACCTTTTTTGCAACAGATGTCAAGTTCAATTTAATGCACCTCTTTTAACTGCTGGACCTGTTTGTGATTTGTTGTGAGCTCAGATTTGTGAGTGACAAATGTACCAAAGCAGCTGTGAGCTTAGTAAATTCAGACTCTTCCATTTTTAACGCTGATTTTGAAACAGATGCGACTTCATCTTGTAGGTGTACCTCCATTGTGAACTCTTACACTCCTTCCGGTAACCGGAAAGTTGCTTTCTTTTTATGTGAAGGAGACAGAGTGATTAGTATATCTGCTAAATCATGCAATTGGACTAAAACCCCTTTCCTTAAAAGTTGTCCTGAGAGGAGCCGGCAGGTGGCATAATGGTTAGGGGTGCTGGACTCCCACATGGCTGACCATGGTTCGAGTCCAGTACCTGGTGACTTGTTCTCTCTCTCTCTGTCCCTCTCTGGTCAAATTAAAACAGATGAATGATGAATGAATAAATAAAGTTAAATAAAATAATTCTTTAAAAAAAAGTTTTCCTGAGATATAATCACCAATCACCAGACCCGTGTCTGGAGCTATGAGGAGCATTAAGATTCCATTGTATTTAGGTAAGGATGGAACATCCCCTTAGAAATGATTAAATCCTGCCTGTTTTGCTTCTGTAATTAGCTTTTTTTTTTTTTTTTGGAGAGTTTTTTTTGTTTGTTCGTTTGTTTTGCTATAAGGCACGTGCACTGACCAGACAGACAGAGACAGAGAGACAGAAAGCAAGAAATCACCCCCAGGGGGGATGGCCACGCCGCAATCCCTTCTCCTCCATTCTCCTCTCGGGATCTTGGGCATGCATGCACACACACCGGCATGAGTTTAAGCCACCAGATCCAGGACTCGAATCGTAGTTGAATACATGGGAATTCAACAACACAGCCGTTACGCCAACTGCTGGTCCCTAAATAAAATAATTATTTTTAAAAATTCAGATCCAGGTCATTCTGATTACTTTCTACCTTCTCTCTCTCTCTGTCCCTCTCTGGTCAAATTAAAGAAAAAAAGTAAATAAATAAAGTTAAATAAAATAATTATTAAAAGAAAAAAAGAATTCAGATCCAGGTCATTCTGATTTAGACCCCAGGCTGTCTGGCTCCAGAGCTGCCAGGTTTACAAGAGAACCTGCACTGGTTCTCTATAGAAAGTAACTAATAAACTAGCTCAATGAAAGTCAGAGGAACTCACTCTCCTACTGGAAAGATCTGATTGTTATCTGACGACGTGTTCAGAGATTAGGGTTGGAAGTTTATTGTGAAACAGCTGCAGTTCTCATGTCGAGATGCTATTTCTGATTAAATTTAAAAACAAGAGGAACAATACATGGCATAATGGTTATGTTGCTGGACTCCCATGTAGTCGACTGTGGTTCAAATCTTGGATCAGGTGGCCTAAAACTCATGCCAGGCGTGTATACATATGTGCCCAAGATCCCAAGAGGAGAATGGAAGAGAAGGGCTTGCAGTGTGGCTATCACTCCCCCCACCCCGGGAGGGGAGTGATTTCTCTCTTTCTGTCTCTCTAGCAAGCGCACGTGACCTATAGCAAAAATTTTTCAAAAAAAAAAAAAAAGCCCCAGCCTGTGACATGATGGTTACAGTGGCTAGATCCCACATAGATCCCCATGCAGGTCTCCACCTGCAGCTGGGCCCAAGGGGAGAGGTGAGTCTCTGGGGCTGTCCATACAGTCCTAAGAACTGCAGATGTGGCTGCTGGGCTGACTGAGGAAGGCCCCACACTCTGAGCATGACACCAGTTTCTCTGCCATTCTGCTTCGGGAGGAGGTTGACTCAGGAGGCCTCTCCATTGCTCCCTTGAGCTGACCCTAGTCCAGAACGTTACAGTCTCTGAGCCTCCACGTCTATAAAGTGGTAATGATCATACCTCCCTATTAAAAGGAATCACATAGGGAGCCAGTAGATGGCACGGAGGTTAAGGCAGCTGGATCCCACATAGCTGATTGCATGGTTTGAGCCCTGGCGGGTGGCTTGATAAACAAGCCAAGTGTGTGTACATACATGCCCCTGAGCCCAAGAGAATAGGAGAAGATTCTAGCATGGCCACCCCTCTAAGGGATACTTCCTCACATTCTGTCTCTCTCTGTCTCCAGTGAGAACACTCTATTGTGAATAAAAAAGGGGGGGAGGAGGACCGCGTAAAACCATGGGCTCTCAAGCCCTATCTAATGGAAGATGTTACCAGTGACGCTTCAAGTCCTTCCTCCCAACCTCAGCGTGGCAAGTTCCAAAATGCCCCCAGAAGTCTAGTATACTCCAACACTGACCTCAAAGAGTAAGCTGGATCTCTCCTCCATATAAAGCGTCTGAAGTCTGCTGTCAGTATTTGGGAAGCAATGTAGGCCAGTGGCAAGAAGCATGGCTTCTGGACTTGAACGAACCCCCTTGAAGACTTAGGAAAGCCGCTTGTCACTCTGGGCAAGTTAATTTTTCCAAGCCTGTCTCCCCACCTGTAAAAGAGTAATAGCAAACCTACCACTGGTGTTTAACAAGGATGAAATGAAATACTGCAGGCCAAATACCTGATGATCGACTCACAAACACACACACATTGTGTATATGTGTTCCCATTTCTGTAAATAATAGTGTGGGGAGCTACGCGATGGTGCAGGGGTGGCCCAGCTCCCACAGGAGAAATGGTCTCGGTTTTCCGCCTGGGAACTCCCTGAGCATGTAGCTCACCTGGCCACCTGAGACTGGGGATGGACAGCAGTGTGAAGACCCTGTTGGTGGGTGCCTCTCTCACTTTCAGGAAAAACAAAACAAACAAAAACCCTTAAAAGATAAGAGTAAGTGGGGGACCAGCAGTTAGTGTAATGGCTATGTCGCTGGACTCCCATGTAGTCGACCGGGGTTCGCATCGCGACCCGGTTGCTTAAAACTCAGACAGGGCGCATGTGCGTGTGTGCCCAGGATCCCGAGAGGAGAAGGGATTGCGGTGTGGCTTCTGGGGGGTGATTTCTCACTTTCTGTCTCTCTGTCTCTCTCTGTCTGGCGAGAGCACGCGCCCTATGACAACAAAAAAGAAAGAAAGAAAAACCTCTTAAAAAAAAAAAAGTAAAAAAAAAAGTCACGCTGAGTGCATGCGTGGATGCCCAAAATCCTGAGATCAGGATTTTGGCCATCCCTCCCGGGAGGTGATTTCTCACCTTCTCTTTCTCTCTCTCTCTCTGAAGGGAGCATATACCCTATAGCAAACTAGAAAAATAAATAAAGTGTAAGCATATTCATGAAAGCTAATTTCGCGTGTGCTCTAAAGTACTAGCAATTGTTACCTTGGTGTGGGGAGCTGGGTAAACCAGAACCTGCCTTTTCCTCCAGTATATATTGCCATGAATTTTGAGCTTTAAAAAATGTAAAAAACCCAATTATACTTTGGAAAATTGTAATAATAGCACCTGTACGCGAAGAAACCAAAGGCAGAGCAGGCCCAGCCCCCGGGGCGTCTGAGGAAGCGACTCAGCTTTCTTCCCCACCCCAACCCCGGGGGCAGGAGCTGCATTCCTTGCTGCGCCCTGACTCTCCCAATCTCCCTGTTCCTGCGCAAGCCAGGCTCCCACCGCCGCCTCCCACCGGCCCGTGTGCTTCTCGCGGGTTCCTCCCAGGCCTGCACACCCCGGGCAGAGCTGAGAGGGCGAGCGCCCGCAGGCCCTCTGCAGGGCAGGGTCCACCCCAGCCCGCAGCCCCGCTGAGTCAGCCCGGCGGGCGGCGCACGACACCGCGTGACCCGCGGTCACGTGACCCGCACGAAGCCACCTCGTTAGCGCTGTCGCTGCAGCCTCAACAGGAGGCGTCTGAGTAAGTGGGGAGCGGGGTTGGCGGCGACTCCCCTCGGGGCGGGCGTGGGCGAGGGTCCTGGGCGCTGCCCCAACCATCCGCATCCCAGGGCCGAACCCACCGGCCGGGCACTGCGGCGAGCGGCTCCCACTCCTTTCCCAGCCGGGCCGGAGGGGTGTTGGGGTCGTCTTCCGGGTGGGGGGAAGAAAACTGGACCACACCGACTGTCGCGCCAGCATCCACCTCGGGCCTTGCCGCTCAGACGATCGCTGTGCTCAGGCAGCAAAACGCCCTTTCGGGCGATTGCCTTTACCCTGTTGTGCTTCGAGGGAAACTGAGGACCCAGAAGGGTTCGCAAAACAAGGGAGGCGGAGCAGCGCTGCTCCAGCACCGAAGAAGAGCGCGCCGCTCCCCCGCCTAGTGACCCGAGAGAGCCCACGACCCCCA